AGTTTAATCCCTTTTAATAGGGTAACTCAGTGTATTTTATTATAAATGACAATACTCTAGGCCTATGTGTTTTAACGTTTCAGCTAAAAGTAATTTCAACTTTACACAATACAAGCATCAATAAACCCAATCTAATTTCGTTGAAGGGATGAAATGTGTAGAAATATTTTTTTTCTTAAAAATGGATACCGTGTAACCCTCAATGAGCCGGTTTTCTTGGCCTTGTCACAGGCGGGGGGGGGGAAATCTGCCCCCCCCTCAGATCTCGTCCATATGATGATGTATTTCAATGAAAATTGGCAGTTCAATAGAGGCATGCATACTAATTATCTGTGTGAAATTATATGTAAATTAATTAAGTTTTGCATAATTATGACTAATTAATTATTCACTCTGCCCTTTGTATGATGTGTGTACAAAGTCAATGGTTATATACTTAACCCTGCCTCCTGAAACTATTCACTGAGAGAGAACGCCACGTCTAATTTTCATAAATTTGGGATCAAAATGAAGCTAATGCATTGAAAACAAATTTCATAAAGTATTAGCACGCAGAAATAAATCCCGGAGATGCTATCAGCAAAAATCACTCGGAGGGGCGGATTCTGCCTTTCCCCCTCCCCAGCTCTATGAGGGTTAAATATGTGAATACAGTTAACTTTAAAAGTAGTGAACTTCACCCTCGGTTGACATCATACATGGAGTGAACTTTAACCCTCGTTTTACAGCATGCATGGGTGAGAACTATAACCCTCGTTTTACAGCATGCGTAGGAGTGAACTTTAACCCTCGGTTTACAGCATGCACGGAGCGAACTTTAACCCTCGGTTTACAGCATGCGTGGAGTGAACTTTAACCATCAGTTTACATCATGCATGGAGTGAACTTTAACCATCAGTTGATAGTATGCGTGGGAGTGAACTTTAACCCTCGGTTTACAGCATGCATGGGAGTGAACTTTAACCCTCGTTTTACAGCATGCATGGAGTGAACTTCAACCCTCGGTTCATAGCATGCATGGGAGTGAACTTTAACCCTCAGTTTACAGCATGCATGAGAGTGAACTTTAACCCTCGGTTTACAGCATGCGTGGAGTGAACTTTAACCCTCGGTTTACAGCATGCGTGGAGTGAACTTTAACCCTCGGTTTACAGCATGCTTGGGAGTGAACTTTAACCCTCGGTTTACAGCGTGCGTGGAGTGAACTTTAACCCTCAGTTTACATCATGCATAGGTGTGAACTTTAACCCTCAGTTGATAGTATGCGTGGGAGTGAACTTTAACCCTCGGTTTACAGCATGCATGGAGTGAACTTCAACCCTCGGTTCATAGCATGCATGAGAGTGAACTTTAACCCTCGGTTTACAGCATGCATGGAGTGAAC